AAACTTTTTAAGCACTAATATTCCAATGTCTACCACAAGGTGGCAGTATTACGTTTCAACCAAACCAAACCAAACAACAATAACAATGAAGTATTTGAATAGGTCCTGGTAACAGAAAATCCCCAAATCCTTTGAATGTGCTGGAATCCTTGTGTCCTTATACCACACTTGGATCACTGTTCATATATATATTTTCATAGCTTGTTAAACAGACTCTTGGTATGTCTTCTTCCTTTCCCCTGGCAGGCCCTGAAGGGAGTATGATTTATTGTTGCTCACGGATTATCTCTGGAGGTCCAAAGTTATTTTTAGCTCCATATTTAGTCGAAGATACATGGACAGGAATGGGCTCTGACTCCTGGCTGGATGACCGACTGGCCGGCTTGTCCCTACAACTATCCCAAACTTCCCAAGGCAAATCACCACAGTGCCCACATCAGCATGAAAACACGCTTGATTCTCATAAGTAACCATGTTTACATACAGTCTTACACTAGCTGTGACAGCAATCAGAGAGACCAGATATCCTTGGGGAAAGGCCACAAACACACATTTGTCGCCAACCATGCTAGACTTTTCTCTGAGTGCGATCAGAGAGTTAGTCTGATTTATCACCCAGATGCAGCCCGTTCAGTCTGCTGGACTGTTGTTCAGGTTACACAGTGCCTGGCCCAACAGTGACTTTCTTAAAACATGGCAACTATGTTACATCAAGATGGTCCAGCACTATCTGCAAGAGCCACACACTCTTTCCTGGGCTACCTAGGGTCAACAGAAGACACAAGCAGAGATTAGGATTTCTGCTTCGTTTCACAAGGAAAGATGAGATTTCCTGTGTTCTTCAGGAATTTGTCACTGCCTGGCATTTGGTTCTAGTGAGCACTGGACCAAGCCGAGGGCTTTCATTTTGACTGTCTTGTTGAATCTACATGAAGGGCACGTCTGTGTCTCACAAAGGCATTTGACTTTACGATGGTAATGGCAAGGACCTTAACCATGCCCATTCTAATTTTGTAAAATCAAGAGTTATGTATTTTTTTCTTATTTCTTCCTCCACATTGTCATCACTATTGGTTGATGCCCTGTAGATCACACCACATTATTTTACATCTTTACAAAGTCCAGTGTCTGTGGACTTTGGTGTCAGATGTGTCCTAAGGAAAATCCCTCATAAAGACTAAGGGATGACACTTCCATCTTGGGACAAAGTTTTCTGCATCCCAAGTTCATGTGAGTTCATGCACAAAGGAACAGTGCTGTTTAAAATTTGGGTCCTCTGTGGAGCAGATGCTTGAGTTGTAACAAGGAGATGGCTTAGTAACCATATCGGGCAGGTCTCACCATCCAGCAGGCTCTCAAATCAACAGCTGTATGGTTTTTCCATCTTAAGAAATGGAGATACAGCAGTGTGACTAAGAACTAGAATTGAAGGCTAGAAGACAATTAGGTGAGTGTTGGCCATCGTCAGCATGGCTGCCTGAGTTTACAGCCCCAGCAAGGATGTAAGAATCCTGCTGGATCATCATGTACTTCACACAGTCCTAGAGCTTGGGAGGAGAAGACGGGAATACTCCTGTAGCATGCTCCCCAGCCAGGCTAGCTAAACTGGTGAGCTCTATGTTTGGCTAGAGATTCTGTCTCAAAAAATAAGGTGTAACTGAGGAAGATGGCCAGGTGCCAAACTCTGGCACCCCTCCACCCCCACACACAGGTAGCCTGACTTCATTACAATGTAGCCTTTGGCTCTTTTAGGTATACGGCCTGAAAGGGCACACAGTTAAATAGAGAGACCTAGAGAGCAGGTGAAGAGGGTCCCATTTTCACCTATCTTAGAACTGCACTACTTCTTAGCTGGCCCCATAGAAGAAGAAAGCCAAAGAGAAAAAACGCAATGAGCATTTTCTCCTGGGAAGAGTGGGGGTTTAGTATATACAAACGAACACACACACACACGCACGCACGCACGCACGCACACACACCCATAAACAGCTACAAAAAACACCAAAAATCTGGCTAGGGAAAAATCTCTTGGTGGAAGGAAACTGGCAGCCAGTTCCTGGGCAGGGATGCAGCTGGCCTGCAAAGATCCAAAAGCAACCAGGGCAGACAGAGATTTCTTTTACGTCTCCCCCGCCTCTGCACAGAGAACTGTGGACCTGCCGCCCATGTGCTTTTGGTGGGCTCTGGGTTCTCCCCCTACTCCGTTTGTTTGACAGCTTTCTCAATTGATACAAATTTTTTACCTTCTGGGCATTCCCATTGTCAAGATTTGCCACTCAGGGCCTGGACGTTCAGAGGCTGCAGAAACAGAGCCACTTACTGCAGGAGCCTACAGAAAAGAAGGAAGGCTGTCTTCAACACTTCTGCAGAGGCTTGGCTCCTGAGACTTCTCTTCTTTCTTCCCTGGGCTCACTTGAACCACCTCTAGGATGTGACCAGCAGCTGCAAGCAGAGGGACTCATCACTCCAAGACTGTGCCTTTTAGCTACAGAAGGGAATTATCCCTGCAGCTGCTTCCAGCTGCCTCCACCCACTCTGCTCTAGACTTCCAGACCTGTGGCTTCTGAGTTCGAGTCTCCGGGCTTTGTTACCTTGCTGGCCCAGTGACTTGCTAGAGTTGTGTGCTTTCAGAAGCTGTAGGAGCTCTACTGAGAGTTCAAAAGTCTCCATCTGAACTGTAAAACCCTGCATGACAATGGTTTAACATAGCTTTTATCTTGTTAAGGCTGTTCATCTTAGAGCACCTCCTGTTTGTACTTTCTGCCATCTGCCCACTCCATCCGGGGAGGAGGGCCCGACAAGAACTTGATTGGGGACAGAAAGGAGGTGGTTCGCTTCCACTGGGACGAAGATGGTGGTTTATGTGTCTTTCATGCATTTCCGTTCCACAAACAGAATCCACCTTTAAGATGACAGTTGAGTAGCGGCAAAGGGTGTACCGCTCACTTCGTTTGAGTTAACCAGGAGATGAGTGGAGCACAGACAAGACACTGGCTTGAATAGTTCTGGAAGTGTAAGGAACTGAGCAAGGGGAATAGGGAGCCAGGAAGCTTGGTTGGGTGAGAGGATTCTTCAGTTATTTACTTTTTGAGACAGAAACTGAAACTTGTGTTGCCCTGAAACTTGTGTTGCCCGGCCGGCCTTGATCTCCCAATCTTCTGACTGGAATCACAGGCATGCAATACCATGCCCAGTTCAGGGATTTCTTCTGTTTCATTTTATTTATAACCTAAGATGTCTTTTGTACTTGATCTTTTTTTCCACTTTGCCCTTCTCTAACCCTCTGACCCCTCACTGCTTCGTCAGCATTTAATACATTCCTAATCCAACACCTCTCCACTTACTGCTCATGTGGGTCAGCCTTCCTCCTGAAGCGTTCCCAGCATGCTCCCTTGCTCCCTCCCATAAAAGCTTATTCTTATTGTGCTGACTCCGTTGTACCTAGCTCCTTCCGGTACTCCCTAATCCCCTTTGCCTAATCTCCCTAGTAGCCAGCAGCTTCACCGGATACTATGTTCTTGCCGGTTGGTTTTGTGTGTAGCCCCTTGTAGAAGACAGTCAGTCTAGCACAGTATACCAGCTAATCAACCGTACTTTTTTTTTTTTTTTTTTTTTTTTTTTTTTTTTTTTTTTTTTTTTTTTTTTTT